GATGCTCTCTTTCTAAAAAGAACAGTTTGCATTACATAGCGCCTTTTTTCGAGCTGTGGAGGGGTGCGGAGTTTGTTTGTGGTGTGTCCTCTGACTCCCACAGCTGGGCTGCAGCTCCGAGAGGCAGGAATCACTCCCAGTCCCCAGCTGGAGTCAGGGGAGCAAATTGCACTGGAGTAGATGGGGAAAGAGGAGGTGGGTGGGTGCCAGCCTCTATGTTGTGAGATGGGCATGGGGAGTTTGTTTGGGGCATCTGATTTCCATCTGGGCGGCAGCAAGAGTCAGACCCTCTGTCTCAGCACAGCAGCTTCTAGTGCAGGGGAGAGACACAGGAATCTCCCCTGGGTGGGGTGGAGGATTAGCAGTCTGCATAGTCGGGTGCCAGAATTTCAGGTGGGTTACGCTGGCATGTTGGGGCATGGGGCTACATGGGAGATGGGGTGCTGCTAGGGAAACTCCCTTATCTCATTAATACAAAGGTGGGAACTGATCAATATATGCTGTGGTGCCCATATATTCTGGTGTGAAGTGCAATTAGTGTTTCATTTTCATAAGATCTAAATCAGCTTACATATAGAGTAACTTCTTTATGAACTAGCCAATTAGCCCGTCATAAGATGGGATTTTCAGGTCTCTCCTCCATGTTGGTCTACTCTCCTGAGCCTCCAGTCTCTCTCTCTCTCTCTCTCTCCTGCGCCTCTCTGTCTCTCTTCTCCTCCCCCTTCTGCCTCTCACGCCCCCTCCTGCCTCAGTCTCTCCTCCTCCCCGTCCTGCCTCTCACTCGGGGGACCGCGGAGCTCAAACAGCCGTTTGGGCTCCACATGCCCTGTGCTGCATGGGGAGTGCGAAGCCAAAACAGTCGCTTGAGCCACTTGCTCCCACACAGTGGCCCGGCTGAGCAGCGCAGAAATCAGCTGAGTGCCACTGCGGGAGGCAAAGGGGGGCCGGGCGGGGCCTCCTCCTCCCCGTCCTGCCTCTCACTCGGGGGACCGCGGAGCTCAAACAGCCGTTTGGGCTCCACATGCCCTGTGCTGCATGGGGAGTGCGAAGCCAAAACAGTCGCTTGAGCCACTTGCTCCCACACAGTGGCCCGGCTGAGCAGCGCAGAAATCAGCTGAGTGCCACTGCGGGAGGCAAAGGGGGGCCGGGCGGGGCCATTCACGACCAGGGGGCGGGGGCTGGAGCGCTGGGGCTCAGCTCAGCTGGGCATCCCAAATGGCCCCTTGCTCCCCTGCAGCGTCCCAGCTGAGCTGTGCAGAAGTCAGCCAAGCGCCATGGTGGGAGGCAACAACGCCACCTGGAGGGAACAGCCAGCATTTCATCGTTACAGAATCTCAAGACATTGGGCTACTATATATATGATGTATCTATCCATCTACTGAGCTTAACTCTTGGGAGAGTATAGCATAGAGGAATATCTCTTTCAAATGAACTAATATATTATAAAGGAAGTGGGACTTAGAACAAATAAATTATGTGATAAGATAAATAAATAGCTATTTCTGTATGAAAAACAATAACAAATTCTAGAAAATTGTTCAGTGTTTACTAAAAAAAGATTCACTAAGAACCAACTATTTTTAAAAATATAAATGGGAAAATACAAGTACAGTTGCAGGATAACTAAGAATAGTTTTTAATATCAATTGCATGGTAAGTTGAAACAGCAAAAGACAGTATGTGAAGAACTTACTGTAAATTATACTGGTGTAAAACCAGAGTAAATACCCTGAAGTCAGTGGAGTTATTCTCAATTTCCACCTGTTATAATTTACAATGGATGTAAATCTGTCCTGTCTGAAAAGAGGATGGAGGAGATTAATCTGACAGACTGGCCTGGACAAATTTAGATTCTTGTTGCAACAGGATGGTAATATATTTAGGCATCAATAGTTTGTTAAAATATCAGCTGTGCTTGATGTAGTTGCCTTAGAGTGCATGTGTCTCAATAGGTGAAATCAGCTGGAGGCTGACTACCATTGTTGACACAGATTAGATAAAGTAGCAATAATATGACCTTAAAGAGATATCACCCCTGACTAATAATGAAAAATAAGTAAGACAGCAACCTTTATCCTTAGAGTACTAAGTGAAGGGTGTATCAGAAGCTGGAACTTGAAGATTGTATGAAAAATGACTTGGCGTGTGAGAAATTTGCATTTTTAAGACTCAAAACAGCTCAGGAAGAGTTTATTATCAGAGATAGTCTGGTGGTAAGGGTACTAACTGGAGACAGGGCTCTGCCACAGACTTCCTGCAAGATCCTGGGGAAAGTCAGCTAGCTTCTGTTTTTACATCTCCATCCATAAAATAGGGATAATACCTCCCTACCTCTCAGTATGAGGTGAGTAGATTAAAAATTGTGAGTTGCTCAAGTACTATGATAATGGGCACCAAAGACACATAATAGATAGGGAAATCCTAGTATATGATATAACAGGCTTAACTTTAAAGATGGATTCCAATGTATTTGAACTTTTAGTACTACATACTGGGTAGAAACTAAAGCAGCCAGCTAGATACTAAAGAATATACATTCAGGTTTGTGTGGTAGGGTACTGATATACAAACTGATCTTCTGGAGTGATATGTTCACTGTGTGTGAACATAAGTGAGCTCTGCAACCCAATTTTAACACATCTGTTGTTCAAACTCTCTGAATATGAGGAAGTGGAAATTCTTTTGTCTAGACATGCTGTCAAGTAACCTGGATGCATGTTGTCTAAAGCCACAGACTGGTTGCCTCATACGAAGACATACCATAAATAATATATTATCAGATCCATTTCCTCATATTCAGAGAGTTTAAACAACAGATGTGTTCAAATTGGGTTGCAGAGCTCACTTATGTTATTATTATAGTTCTTAAAGAAAATGGCTGGTGGTGATTTGTGTGTTAGAATCATAGGGTTGGAAGAGACCTTAGGAGGTCAATATCACTTGCTGTCATGTCACAAGCATTGCTAGTTATTAACTAAGCCCAATTAAATCATCCCAGCCAGGGCTTTGTGTTATTTGGTTTATGCTTGGCTACCTTCAGACCTTTCCACAGTGTTTTCCTAATGAAATTCACTTGATGCTCCTGGAGAAGGAAAGAGGGGATTTCAGAATCTTTCTTCTATAAACTTGACTGGTGCTTGACCATAAAATAATATTAGCATACTTTCTTCCATTTCTTTTTGCACAAGGGGTATTTGTGCAAAAAGAAACAGCAGAAAATATATTAATATCACAATTTATGCTAATGAGTCTCTCATTAGCATATTTTCTGCCACAAAAACTTGCAGTGTAGACAAAGCCCACCTTCCTACTAAAATAGTTTTTCTTTATATCCAACCTAGACCTTCCCCACTGTAACTTGAGACCATTGCTCCTCAATTCTGTTATCTGTCACTACGGAGAACAGCCTCTCCCCATCCTCTTTGGAATGTCCCCACAGGTAGTTAAAATGTTCTGCCAAGACAAATACTGTAATTCTTATTTCTTGTTTTAACAAAGCAAGAGTTTGAACAGAGCTGGTGTTAGCCCTTTGGGGGCCCTAAACAGGAATATTTTTGTTTGCCTCCCTACTATGTACTAAAAAAAGCGGGAATGGGGGCCCCTTGAGCTGCTCAGGGCCCTAGAGTAATTGCTTAGTCTGTTTATGCCTAGTGCCAGTGCAGATTTTGACTCTGCAGTGAATAGCACAAATTCCAGTTCGTTGGGATTTATTCGCAGGGAGTATGTTCTCTGGGATCTCTTGAAGATTTCTCCCTCATTAAGGAAGAACATGCATCCACTGACAGTGTAAATATGCTGGAACAATTCTAGAATCTTCAGTTAAATAATCTCTTGACACAAGTTCAGTGACATCCTTTCAAGATACAGACAGAATTTTCCTGGAAATGATCCTCCATATGACATCCTGAACAATATTTCCTTGTGGAGAATTAAGTGGGAAAACACTCTTTGAGAAATGATCATTTAGGGGTGACAGTCACAGACAAATACCAAGTGCCCCACATTATTCAATATCACTTGATACAGGTGTTGTGGCCATTCTTGCTGTCATGTCACAAGCATTGCTAGTTATTTGGTTTATGCTTGGCTACCTTCAGACCTTTCCACAGTGTTTTCCTAATGAAATTCACTTGATGCTCCTGGAGAAGGAAAGAGGGGTTTTCTGAATCTTTCTTCTATAAACTTGACTGGTGCTTGACCATAAAATCTGGCAGCTGAAAATATATGCTTGTATGACTGATTAGTTTTAGTCTGTTCATCATTCATATTGGATACAGAGTATAGTTCAAGTTGTGAATGAATTATAGAAATGATATATTCTCAGTATCTTTAGAAATAGAGGTGGCTCTGAGACAAGAATGACGATCTTCAGCCAGGACTAGTACTATGCAAAGGCATGGCAATAAAAAGAGACTCATAGGCAAGCAGCCACTGGAGGGGGCAGAGAGATTTATTTGAAAATAAAATAAAAAAATAGGCTCACGAGGCAACTGTTGTGCTTATACGTCTCCACATGACATGATATTGTAGTGGATAGATGAATACTTTCCAAATCCAAGGATCACAGAGCAGGTCTAGGAGATACGACATATCCTGTCTACACTTGTGGTACTATCACTGAAACCACTGGTATGTGGAGCTGTACCAGCAGATAGTCCTACCATGACAATTGTAGGAGAAATGGAAAAGCAGATAAGGTATGCAAAACAGATCTAATTTTATATTTGGTAAAATAGGCTTACTGGGATGACAAGATTCTTATACATGAGAAAGGGAGTGGAAAGCTACTTATCCTAGAAACTAAGTTGTGTCTAATATTCTGTCCAGAGGCTGAGAGAAGAAAAGGGAAGCTAGAGGGAAAGTGAATTTGCACTCTGATAATGTAAGACTTTGTTACTGCATCTAATCAAGGGAGTAAATAGCTTTGCTTTTGCCAAGCATAAAATGACATATGCTCACACACCATGTATTTTGATTTTATCTGCTTTTTCTCTTTCTAGGTTTTTTATGCAGTGTAGTTATAGCTGTGTCCAGGCCCACAGCTGGGAAGGGCAATGTACATAACTGCCTAAGGGCCCGATGATTCACAACGGCCCAAGGCTCCCAGCTGCTGCCACTGCTACTGCGGCAGTGATGGTGGCCAGAGCACTGCAGTTGGCACTGAAGAGTTGGCAGCAGGAGGCTAGCTTCTAGCCCTGCCCCACCTTGCCCAGGAGCCTGGCAATTCCATGTCAGATCCATGATATTAAAGAGACAAGGTAGATGGGGTCATATCTTTCAGCGGACCAAATTCTGTTGGTGAGAGACAAGCTTTGAGAGCCACACAGAGCTCTTCTAAGGTACTCCCAGTATCACAGCAAAATGCAAGGTGAGTCCAATAAAAGTCATTTCCTCACCCAAATTGTCTTTCTAAATACTAATTTTTTAATTAGATGACTGAGTCCAAGATTCTTTTGGGAATTTCATGTAGACCATTTGGAGAAGTAAAACAACCTTTACAATGGGGTGTGTGACTGTGGCTGATGCAGACATACCTGAGCTAGCTAACCGGAGTAGTGAAGGTGTGGTAACATGGGATTCAGTGCTGCCTGCACAAGCTCATCTGGAATCCTGGGTAGCTATTCAGGTGTCTGGCCGGTGCTGAAGGCCGAGCTTCGCTTATCTGGTACCCACACTAGCTAGATTAAAGCAAGCTTGGATGTAAATACACCTTATAAGAACAATACCCTAAAAGAGCGCCTGGAGCCTCCTCTGCTTGGTGTTCTCAGTGAGAATGGCAGAGATTAAGGAGTCCTCTCTGATTAAGTTTGTTTTGTGGTCTAGTTAATGCCCCAAAAAACGCCTAATGGGCATGGATAAAAACTGAATTTCAGGTGCTCAGGGTGACAGAATTTCATTTTGGGTAACAGGAAGTCTTTTACCTACAAGAGTCCCATTTTGTGCATTCATTGCCAAAAGACAAAGAACCGTGGAGTTTTCTAGTGTTGAGGCCAAATTCTGACCTGATTTACAGTGGTATAAATTAGGAGTAATTCAATTACCTTTCATTAAGTCATTCCAGATTTGGCCCTCTAATGTTCAGCATGGAGCCCTGACTCTCAAGGGCTCTCAGAGAGAGAGATATCTGAGAGAGTCTGAGCAGGTATCTTTCAAGCTCAGAAACTTCAGGATCTCTACCAAGCATTTATAAACCTCAATTACCCACCTGGAGAAATAAAAAAACAAATTGAAAGAGCCAGACAAATACCCAGAAACCATCTACTTCAAGACAGACCCAAGAAAACCAACAACAGAACGCCACTTATGGTCACCTATAGCTCCCAACTTAAACCTGTCCAACACATTATCAATAAACTACAACCTATACTAGAACAGGATACTACACTCCGAAAGGCTCTGGGAGACAGACCCATAGTCTCCTACAGACAATACCACACTAATACCAACCCTGGAACTTTTCCTTGCAACAAACCCCGTTGCCAGCTGTGTCCACATATTTACTCTGCTGACACCATTATTGGACCTAACCAAGTCAGTTATAAGATCGAGAACACATATTCCTGCTCATCCAGAAATATAATTTATGTCATCATGTGCCGACAGTGTCTGTCTGCTATGTACATTGGACAAACATGTGCCGACAGTGTCCGTCTGCTATGTACATTGGACAAACGTCTCAGACACTTCGCCAATGAATGCATACAAAATGGATATCAGACACTATCACAAAGAAAAAACAGTTTCTTGCCATTTCAACCAGAAAGGGCATTGTCTCAATGACTTGATTACCTGCATACTGCTTCAAAGGCATTTTAACACCAGACTTGAAAGAGAAACCTCTGAATTGTCATTCATGCTTAAATTTGACACTTTACGCCGGAGTCTTAACCAAGACGCTAATTACCTTACCCATTACAAAGATAGCTTTCCCAATTATCACCTCTAATATCATTAGCTCACAGACATTTACCTTCCCCCCCCACCCCCATCCTCGCTCTGTTCTGAAATTTGATTTGTCCTTTTTATATAGGTTCACTTTTTTTATTGTATCCCTTTGGTATATATGGTCATGCCTATTCTCTTCCACAATTTGATCTGAGGAAGTGGGTCTGGCCCACGAAAGCTCATCACCTAATAAACCATCTTGTTAGTCCTGTTTTTTTGTTTCATCTAGACTAGACTAACACGGCTACATCTCTATTACTATTCTACTCTTCCCATTACATAGCAATTGGCAGAGCCTCTGTTTTCACACATTCTTAGGTTTTTAAGGCCAGATGGGACCACTAGAGTGATCTAGTCCAGGGCTGGGCAATAATTTTTGAAGGGATGGGGAATGTCACTTTATGAATTTCAGAAGTGGCTGTGGGCCGCCCCAGAAAGAGCAGGGTCTCAGGCAGAAGGGGGAGGGCCAGGAGACTTTGCATGCTCCTGTACCCACAGACCCTGTTTAGGGTTGCCAGGTGTCTGGTTTTCACCTGGACAGCCCGTTATTTCTGGCCCCTGTCCGGTAAAAAAAAACAAAAACAAAAACAGAAAATGACCAGTATTTTCTGTTATTCTTCCACAGAAGGCTGGCCGGGGGAGTGAGGAGTGAGGGGATTCTTAAAGGCACAGTTTCCTCAACAACTTTTTGTCTCCTGGTTTGGGTTTTTTTGCTCAATCAAGTTTTTTTCCCTGCCACTTTTGGTGTAAGCATCTGGCAAGCCTAACTCTGACTGGCATGAGGGTAGGGGAGCATGTGAAGTCTTGGCACCCTGACCCTGCCAGGAGTTCATGGTGCCCAGAGAGAACTTCCGTCTGTTCAAAACAGCTGGCAGTTCCCTCTAGGAGCCACAAGGAGACGTTGTGCACTCCCCCAACCCCTAGGCCAATCACGGCTTGGGGGCAGGGGAGCATGTGAAGTCTTTGCCCCTCGCCTTCACCCTGCCAGTGGCGCATGGTGCCTAGAGAGAACCGCTAGCTGTTTTGAACAGCTGGCAGTTCCCTCTGGTGCCGCACAGCCCTGGCAGGAGGGAGGAAGGGAGATTTGGTGTGCTCCCTCATCCCCAAGTCTCAATTAGCCTGAGGGAATGGCAGAGTAGCCATGGGTTGAATCAAAAGGCTTGGTGAGCTGGATCCAGCCTTCGGAGGGATCTTGCCCACCCCTGATCTAGTCTGATCACCTGCATCAGCAACTGGTGCCTGCAGGGAGTGGGGTGGGGAAAAAGGGGGGCAGGGAGGGTCACCCACAGAAGCAAGAAGGGAGCATGCAGGGGCTCCCCATTTAGCAATTAAAATTTTGGTGGAGGCATGGGTTGTGGTGCACCTCTTGAGTGCTACCACGAGTCACCTATGACCTGCATAACGCAGGTTATAGAATTTAGCCAGTGATTCTGGCATCACTTATGGGCAATGTTCCCTCTAAATTTGTCCATTCATGTGTGGAATAAATTTTGTTATGTGCCCTGAGGCATGTGCAGATGTGCACCACTAGTAGAAATACATGCTGCTGGTTGTGGGCGCTCTGCTAAATCAGCTGGGAGGAGTTTGACTCTCTTGGGTGGCGAACCCAAGTGCTCAGCTAGCAGCAAACACTGCATATGAGATATAATTCTCTTTGAGACATCTTTTGCATTGATATTTTGAAGCAAAGAGCAAATTAACCATATAAATGGCTTCAGATGGTTTCTAGGAGACTGAAAGAGGAGAGAGATAATGGAATCATGGAATTAAAGATGGAAAAGACCCATCCGATCATTTAGACTATCTTCCTGCCAGTACAGTACTGTTCCCTAAAGTATGCTTTTCCAGTCCTTTGCTTCTTTATCTAGTCAACTATTAAAAGGCCCTACAGATAGGATTTCCACTATATTGTTTGGGAAATTTTCTAATGTCTAACTGAACTCATAATCAAATAGTATTTTCTTGTTATTAAGCTTACATCGCACAGATATACACAGTATCAGCTTTAAAGCGCACCAGTTTTCTGTGTGGTAGCAGCCTATTCACAGTCCCATTTTTGCAGAAGAAAACCACTCTGTTCCTCTCATGCAAAGCCTCTAGACCGGTCTCTTTGTTGGGGGGAAGAGTTGTGGAACCAGGAAGGCCAAGCTCAACCCTGTGCTCCAGGATCCAGCCCAAAGAGACTAAATAAAACATCAGCCAGAATTTGAACCGATTGTAAGAACAAATCAGAAGCATGTTGAAGAACTGAGAAAAACCTGCAACTTAATTCGAGGAACCAGCCCGGAAAAAAAATGGAAGAAATACTTTCCCTCGTATGTGTCAAGTCTCAAAATAATCAAAAGCAGCTGCTTTAATTTAGAATCAGATATGGCAATAATAGATTCATATTTGTAAAATTCTAAATTTGGGATGGTCTATTTGATCATTAGCCATGCTGCTGAAGTAGGCAGGTTCGTATGATTTTTAAGAAAGCTAGAAAACTTTGGGAACTGTTACCAGTTAACATAAGCATTCCATAAAATCTATCTGGGGCATTTCTTAAAGCAAACTCATTAGTAGAGATAAGGCACCACTGTAATTTAAACGGTTAAAAAAGGTGGCCAGTATATTTAAAGCCCAAGATTCGTTTTAACAGCAGCACTATAATAAATGCAGAATCATTTGTTGAACACACAGATTTTAATATTAAGTGTTACTTAAATAACAATTTACCTAAGAATGAAACATGTTCCATTTTGTGGATGTGTCCCTCTTATTAAGCATTATGCACCTGATGAACCATAAACAGCTCCAAAATCATGAATGTTATATCTTAATACAGCAGACCATTCTTAAAACTGGACCCCCTTAAGCCCCCCCCCCCCCACACACAGAGAGAGAGAGAGAGAGAATGTGTGTATTTTTCACATAAATGTCCTGTCTTCCAGCTACTGCCATGAAGTCCTGCCATGAATTTAAAGATCTTGCTGCTCAGAAATCAGGGATACCAGAGCAGCAAACAGCAAATAAATGGCTTTATCTGATGCTATGTGATGGCTGCAAAAATTCATAACAATATTGAATTGTGTCAGTTACTCTTGCAACAGAACAAACAAAAACCACGTGCAAAGATGTAAAACCAGAACTGTTCAGGAACACAGGTTTCTGGAATGTTATTTACAAAAGCAGTGGGTTGGATAGCCTGATGATTTATAGCCATGGCTGTAAGCTTTGTGCATCTGACAGTTGGTTATGAGGTTTTCAGACATGTTACTGCACTGTTATGGTGAAAATGCTAGAGGGCCAAGGTCAGCCAATGTTGATGTAGCAAGCTTATTTTCAGAAACTTCAAGAATAATGGAAGTGATTTGTTCTGTGAACAAGGGTAAAGCATAGTTTAAGATGTGGAAGACCATTAAAGGTG